TTACACTGGATCGCCCGCGTGTTGAACATAATCCAGCATTATCCAACAGTATAATCGTCCTGGGCAGCACTAGTGCAACTTCGCTGCGAGGGATTCCTCGGCAACACTCCGGTCCGGGACGGTTGAGCTTGTCCTCTATCAGTGTCGACCGAGTCATTTCAGCCCGTCCCATCCCAGCGAAGCTGCCTATCGCCTGTCGTGATTCGCCTTGTCCCTCGTAAATCTCTGGCGACGCTTCGAAGAGGCGGAGCCTATTCTTGAGAATCTGTCGGCCTGCGAATTTCCGTCGGGCACTGTCGCCGTCGTTGAATTTGAATGCTTCGCCGAGCGTCCCGTTGTTGCGGTAAAGACCTATCGGCCGCCTCTGCTTTCGTTCGGCCCCGAACATGTCGTAGGCCGGCGGCATAGCAAGACCTCTTGCGTCTGTTCCCTCGCGTACGTCTGGTCGGACGTCGTTGCCGCCACGCGATATCTCGACGGTGATGCTCTCAGGCTGGTGCTAAGCCAAGTGTATATCTCTTTCCATATCATCCTCTTCATCGGTGTCTCAAAATCTCGCCTGCCGACTACTGTAATCCCTCGCCACCGTCACACTGCCGTCCGCCCCGGGCACGAACCTCACATAATGGTTCGCAAAGTAACTCAGCATCATCCTCCTCGGCACGAAGATCTCCCACGCGCTCGTCGGCGGCACGGGGACCATCTCGCACAGCTCGCCCCTCGGCACGAACACCACGTCCGAGTACTGCCGCCTGATATTGTCGACCTCGACGCACGCAAAGACGAACAGCGCAAAGTGCACAACCCTGTAACCCCCTTATCAGCAAAACTTCCAGACGCCCACAGGAGGGAAACTCACATTAGCCAGAACATGAAGAATATCAACGCCGTCATGGTATGCGTCTGCCTCTCATCAACCTGCCAATACGTCGGATCCAAATCCATATACGACAGCCACCCACTGATCACCACCCCCATCGTCGCCGCCGTGGGCGCCCAAATCAACAAATGCGCCGCCACATGGCCCCCCGGGCTACCCCAACTAAACCGCGTACTCCGCGGCCGCTCCTTGCTCTTCGTCCACCGCACGCCTCTGTCCCTCACAACCAGCGCCACGAGGTCGCCGCCGCTCCAGAGCATCGCGAGCGCGGAGGTCGGGCTGCCCATGGCCCAGTTGCTGACGTACATGTCGTCGGTCTCGTGCATGGAGCCCAGCACGCCGCCGAGGATGACCAGCGCGAGGAGCAGCGAGGCGAGACGCAGGCAGAGCGTGGTGCGGTACATGGAGCGGTTGTGCGGGATCGCGGCGAGGAAGGCGCCATGACGGGTGCCGCTCGGGTCGGGGGCGAGGGTGGTTATGGCTGGGTGGAGGGGTGTGTTGTCCATCGTTGCGGTCCGTCGGAGGAGGCGGCGGTCTGCATCGGGTCTCAGCGAGGTTCGTTCGCCTATGGCGATTGGGATTTGCGCGTCATGGGCGCCATGCGTAGGTTTCTTTCAATGGCTCGGTCGGTGTTGATGTTCAATCCTGTAATTGCGGCGGGCTCGTTATCGGACGGGATCGAGTGTCGAATTACGCGGTAATTGTGAGCTCGTCGCAAGCGGTGGTGTTGATACGGGAAACATTGGGAGTGCAACATGGGCAGCGATGAGAGGCCGAGGGGAGAAGCCGAAGGGGACGGCGACAGGGGTCTAGATCCTCGATTGAATCCCTCCCAGGGCGGACGGTCCATTCACAGCGCGACGTTGCCGTTCTGGCGGGAGGCGTCCGGTGGGGCGCGTCGTTTCCTGCAGGGCCTGAAGCATGCTGCGACGGGGCGCGGCGCCCCCGGGAACCTGCTGTGCCACTGGGAAATACGGGGACTTTTTTGATTTTGATGTCACTGGGGGATGGGATTTCACAGGTGAAACGTGACGTTGAGGCGCATGTCCATCGCCTAATTGAAGGTACGAATACCGCCTCAGTTTGGAGTCACTGATCAAATAACAACACCATTGTAGAACACCAATTCTTCAAAGACGGCTCAGTATGCCCGTGTATTCATAATCGTAATATCCCAAAAATGTAGCAAATATCATGACACCATGCCATGCAATTTTGACAATCCCCAACGCCATGCGTAAAACCATTAACAGTCCTCACTGGGTATCTTCCTCTCCTCACATCGACCTCGTCCTCGCACCACCACTCCGCGAACTCTCGCCCAAGACCAAGTTCTTATTCAACCGAAACTTGCCCTCCCGCGTGTCCCCAGCAGCAGGCGTCATCCCATTCGCCCCCGTCGCAAACTTCAAGTCCACGTCCCCGGGCAGGATAAGCTGCGGCTGCGCGTCCCCCCGCCGCATCCTCTCCAGCTCCGCCTCGTCCGGCACATAATCGTCCGGGGGCGGCCTCATGCTCGGCCGCAGGTGCCGATCGCGGTCGCCCGGCGTCGTACGCGGCGGCAGCCCGCGGACGGGCTTGCGTTTGATGGCGGAGGGGAGCGCGTGCTGGTGTCCCGGGCGTTCGGGCAGTGGCGGCGGTGGCGTCTCCGGGCGCGGCGACTCGGTGAAGTCGGGGAATGCGGCGACGGGCTCGGTGGCTCCAAGAGGGCTCGACGACTGCGGCGAGCGCGGGAAGGAGGGGGCCCTGGCGGAGTTCTGAGACTGCCACGTCGGCAGCTTGGGGAAGGGCTTCGCGACGACGTAGACTGTCTGGCCTGTTTCGGGGATGTACATGACGCGCGGTCTGCGGCGGCGGATCTCGCGGCTGCGCTCGACGCAGGCGCGGATGAAGAGGCAGAAGCGGATGAATCTGGATCAGGTGTTAGTGATGTCGGGGCGAGGTAGCTTCAGAGGACGTACGCGTTGATGCCTGTCAGGGTGCAGGCGCTGAGTGCGAGGCTGGCCGGGTTGTTCGCCGGGTCGCCGTCCATCCAGCTAAGCTGCAGCCCGACCCATCCCGCCGCCACGGCAGAGACGACGGAGAGCACGAGCTCAAGTCCGATGAGGGCTTTGGGCGTGATGCCGCGGCCGTAGCGGGCGCAGAGTGTGAGGAACTCGGCCAGGTCCCAGAAGAAGGACGGAAAGGCCTATATAGGATGTTGTGTAAGTTCACCATTTCTTGACAAAAAGCAGAGGGACGACATACCCCGACCAACAGAATCCCAGGCCAAACGTTCACGGCGAGATTCGGCCTGTACGAGTACCACGCCAGACAAATACCCAGCACGATGGCGCTGAAGAGCGTGCCGCAGGCCCTAAACACAATCTTGCACACCTCCCACCCGCGGCTGCGCTGGTTCTCGAGCCAGCGCACCTGCGACGGGTCGATGGACGCGGCGGACGGCGACGGCGAGGGCGGCTTGCCGGCGTCGACCTCGGCGGAGTGCAGGGACTCGAGCTGGTAGCTCTCTGCGGCGGGCGCGCTGCTCATGGGCGGCGGCGCATGGAGTCTGTTGCTGGACCGGTCCTCCTCCCAGTAGTTCAGCGCGGTCGACGATATTTGGTGGTAATACGGTGGTGTCGCGGCTGCTGCTGTGTTGGTGGGTGTTGTTGACGGGAAGGTGGTGGTGGCCTTAGCCGGGACCGCCTTTCTGGAGATTTTCCCCATCAAGGCTGGCTCTGTTCGTATTCCCACCGGCGCATCGGCGCTTCACTTGTTCCCGCTGAATAACAGAAAATAAGATCCGATATTTGACTTGGCGCGAGCGGGAGTTTGGCTGGGAAAACCCAGGCTCGTGTCCGTTACAGCGGTTCGTCCTGACTCGGTGTGTGGCGGCGTCAGGGGTACCACCAACAGAGCTGCTACTGACAACGCCGACCAACGGGAGGCCTTTTCTTGCCCGAAGAATGATGTTGATCAATGGATTAGCCCGGGTCTGCGCCTCGTTCAAGTGAACAAGCGTAGAATGAATCGACCGAGGGGACGGGATGGTTCCCCAGACGCGGCGCTGCGGCAGCATGGCATGCGGTTTAAGGGCGGCAGACCAGAAATTAGGCAACCGTATTCTGTACCGGCTCCACTCGCATGCGGAAGCCCGAGCCGAACGGTGAGTTGTTGGAGATGCATTGGCGGCTGTTGTCGTGTCTCCATTTGGCGATTGGCATGCCGGATGGGTGACCGTCAAAGTTGGGTACACGAGTTGTACCCAGTTGCCAGTGGTGGTTGCATGTTGAAGTGAGCTTTGCCATTGACCGGGACGGCGATGGGACCAGGATAAGCATCAACAAGCCTTGGAAGTCATCTTGGCGAGCTGAGCCTCGTTGAAGCTGCAAAAAAACAGCCTCCCCCTGGCGCAATGGAACGATTGGAATATTCTGTCGGCCCCCAAAAGAAGATATTTGTCGAAGAAATGTCCGATTCAGCCGTTGAATTCGACGATCGTCCAGTCCCCTGAACGTCAACACAAGCTGGTTTCTGTGTGGCCAATCAACGAGGTGGTCGTTGGCAGGTGTCCACCTTTAACCGGAGACATCGTTCTGGAAGCTCAATCTCAGTCACTGGCAGACAGAACCTCTCCCATGAACATCTTCATCCCATAATCAGCCAAAAGTTCAAAATGTCCATCGCTAAGTCAAAACGAAAGGAATCACTGTCACGAATGGCAAAACATTGGACACTGTGGGAATTGAACCCACGACCTTTCACAAGGCGCATCGTTATGCAGACGAAGATGCGAAGCGAAAATCATACCCCTAGACCAAGCGCCCATTGTTGAAGAAGGTGATCTGGATAGGTCTCAAGAAGGCCGCATCGTATCGCGAAATCATACATCCCGCAAGATGCGTTCTCTATCGCTTCACATTGCTTTAATAAAGTCAGATTCGTAGTCGACTGCAACCAGGTGAGCGCCCAATACTTCGAACCTTAACGGCACGGCTCCCTTGACCTCCGCCGAACATCTCATATCATCGCCCCATCACTCAACGGACACAAACATGCAACTGATTGAAACGTGAAATCGCTTCTCATTCATCCACCCACACGGGTATCCTACTCATACACTCATTATATAACCTTCTTAAGCCTGCACATCGCTCTTCAACTTCTCATACACAGTCTCGCCCCCGACCTCACCCTGCCTCGGGCCCGCATCCCGCGCGCCCTTCGTCTGGCTCAGCTTCAAGTGCTGCTCCGCCACGCGGCCGGGGTCATTCTCACTTCCAATCTCCGCCTTCATCGCCGCCTGCACGCCGTCCTTGGTGTTCTTATCGTCAAAGCCCTCCGTGATGTTCTTGCCGTGCGGGCCGTTGGGGTCGCGCGTGTATTGGTTGTTCACGTATGTCGGCGCTGCGCCTGCTTGACCGGGCACCGATGCGGCGCCGCTCCCGGGAGCAGAGCCGGTGCTGGTGGAGGAAGCAGAGGGGTTGGCGGCGAAGGAACCGTTGTTGGCGGCGGACTCGGCTGCGAGGGAGCCGGCGGGGACGGGGCCCGTGGACTCGGAGGTTGTAGGGGCGGAGGCGCCGGGTTGGACCTGCGCTTGTTAGTATTGTTATTCACGATGAAAATAAGCTAGGGTGCATAGTGAAGGTGTAGGCATACCTTAGTGCCGGCGGAGGGAGCCTTGTTCTGTTGCGCAGACATTGTGATGGTGATATGTGATTGGTTTGTGATTTTGGGTATAATAGACTCGTTTTGTTTTAGTCGATTGATTTCTTAGTTGTTTGATTTGACTTATCCTGCAATTCGTTTTCGAATTCGAGGCTCATCGCAGCCATATAAATCATAATCGCCGCGGCCTCGCATGACATCATGTTGGCCTCGTCTTACATCAAACCCAAGCCCGGAGGAAAACCTCCACGCACAGGCAACGAACCCACTGCGGGATGACTTCAGCCTCTCCACATATCCCACCACAGCTCTGTCGCGGGATGGGCAATGAGCGCCGCATTACATCACCCTTGCGGCTCTGTCTCCTCTCTTCATCTCTTAATTGATAAAATGAGGCAAAATGAAAACTTGGATGAGATGGATGAAATTGGCGTGTTGCAGGTGTGGAGGGCGATCGATCATGTTGGCGCGACCGATCGATCCTCACCGAGGGCTCACCGAGGTGTGGAGACACATGAGCGGGCCGGCTCGCGGGTTCTGTGCTGGGGCTTATGACGCGGTTTGGGGTCGAGGCTGGCTTTTCTTGGTGATCAATGAGTGTGTTTGTACCTTTCAACGTCACAATTATGGATTGATGAAGTATTATATCCATTTATGAGACAGGACAGTCTTGAGGTTGGATATCTAGGATCTTCATTTGGAACTGGACCCTTCTCGGCCGAGATGCGTCAGCCGCAAGCTGTGAGCGCTGGGAGTCGAACCATGCATGCCTTTTTTCTTCGCCTACCTTTGTGAAAAGTGCAACCCTCTTCTCATGATAATCATGGACCTGTTTCTTATCCATGCTGTGGACGAGGCCAAATGATAGGATGTCTGTTGATATCCTGGAGCCTAGTAGAAAGGTTTCCTTTCAGAAGTTCTCTGGATCACAACACTAAGAGATGAAGCGGGTGTTCAAAATAAACCCTCATCATGAGAATGTGACCACATTAGGGTACAATCCTTTCCAGATATGCATCGAGTGAAGCCTCACCTCACGTACCTGCTTAGTTCTTTTCGTGATCTGAATGGAAACAAAACAAAATGAGGTTCACCACCAGGTGCGAGAGTCAAGGCGCATGACTCTCAGAATCATCAAACCAAACATTCTTAGTCTCTTGGCAGCAGTTTCACGGGAAACGTTTACGAAACGTTTTAGTAAATTCATCCGCGGCTCGAGGTCTTATGACTGTGAAGCCCATCTTAAGCGGGGAAACGGGAGGTGTCATCTCGAAGCTGGTCTTGGCATCATCTTGTCAAAAGCTTAAATGACGCCAAACAGGGCAGCTAACCAGGTTTCAGCTGCTCCGACAGGGAATGTCATGTTAATTCTCGCTTCATCTCCGCGCCTCTGGTTGGTCTAGGTCACTTGCAACTTCAAGTGCACTGCAATCGCGGAGTTGTTGAGAAGAGCTGCACTTCTGTTCCCTATGGTGAGTTGTGAGAATAGCCTCGACAACTGAGTGAAGACCCCGCTTAGAACCTGTACTTTTCTGCCCAGGATCATCTAATCCCTGGCCCTTTGAAAGCCTCACTCTGCGAAAGAGCGCATTTCGTCGGCACATTTTTCGCCATCAAGGCCCCTAACTCCCTAACTGCATCACTTTCCAAATGGTCTACAATAAACTCGGTTTCGGACGTATGTGGCTCATTTAGTCTCTTCGCCCGACATCATCACCTCGTGGCACGGCCCACCTCAACTCAGGTTACACCCTGAACCGCGATGATCCAAGTTCGTCGCACAGATTAAACCCCCCTTTTTCCCACGAGTCGAATCAATAAATCACTCAAACTAAGTTTCAACGAAGCATTTCACGCGATATGGGGACCAGCGGATGAAATATGTGAAATATGTATTCCATGGAAAGATATGCAAGAATCGAACGATGACTAGCCGAGCCCACGATCTCTCAAGAGACGCAGAAACAGCCATGATCCCGTCTACCACGCGGCCACCACGCGCGGCAAAGTCTTCAGCTTCTAGCTGATTTCATCAGACATCAACCACTACCTAGACCCTCACTGAGGAAACCCTTTAGCACTTGGCGCCGGAGCCGGAGGGAATGCCGGAGCACTCGGAGGAGGTCTTGCCGCCGGTGACGGAGACGCCAGACCACTTCCAGTTGGAGCAGGCACCCTTGGCGCACAAGATGTAGACGTTGGTGCCCTTGGAGGCGACGGTGCCCTTGACGTTCTTGACGGTGACATCGGTGATAGGAATGCCAGCGGTGGGGGTGCCGGTGGGGCTGCCGTTCTCGTAGTCCTGCTGGATCACGATGCCCTTCTTGTTGATGTTCTTGAGGGTGATGTTCTCGAAGGTGACGCCGCTCACGGAGCCGGTCTTGTGGGCGATGGTCTTGATGCGGATACCGTTGTCGGCCTTCTCGATGGTCGAGTCACGGATGACGATGTTCTTGACCGTGTTGTCGGTGCGTCCGCCGACGGAGCCGATGGACAGGCCGTGGGAGCCGTAGCAGTAGCCGTTCTCGAAGACGATGTTGGTGCCGGAGTTAATGGCGAGGCAGTCGTCCTGGTTGTAGACCTTGGCGCCGGAGATGGTAACGCCGGTGGACTGGCCGACGTCGAAGGCGTCGGTGTTGTGGCCACCCTTGGAGTCGCCGTCCTTGTTGTTGATCTCAACGTTGTTGCTATATAATTCTGTTAGTAATCGGTAAAGATAAGCGTAGTTGAGCATATGACTTACACCTTGAGGTTGGTGACTCCGCTGATGGAGAAACCGTGGACGGGGGTGTTCTTGATCTTGAGGCCGTTGATGGTGCCGTCGTTCATCTTGACCTTGAAGAACTTGGGCTTCTTCTTGCCGCCGTTTCCGCCCTTGCCGTCCCACCAGCGCTCACCCTCGCAGGAGATGAGACTGCCGGAGGCGCCGGTGACGGTGATCTTCTTGCCGCCGACGGAGATGAGGGGGCCCTCCCACTCCTTGTAGCCGAAGGTGGTGGTGCCCTGGAAGGTGACCTTGGTGCCGTCTTTCAGGCCGGTGAGGTCGAGGGTCTCGCCGGCGGGGACCTTGACGTTGTTGAGCACGATATCGGTGCAGGAGGTCTTCTTGGACATGGCCGTCTTGGCGTCGGTGAAGGTGCACGAGGCGCGGGTGTCGAGCTCGGCGGGGGCGGCGGCGGCCAGGGCGCTGAAGCCCGCGATCATGGGAAGGAAGCGCATCGTTTCGGTGGTGGATGGGATGTGGTCAACACGAGGATAAACTTCAGGTTATGTACAGAAAGTCCTTGCTTTCTTAAAGAGAGACTGAGGTTGGTTTGAAAGGAGTGTGGTAAAAAAAGAGTGAATGAAGGTGAGTGTGAAGAGCACGATGAAGCTATCTAGAAACACCTCGAGAAGGGGGAAGTTTAAGGTTACTTATAAGGAGGGAGATTCACTCCATGCTGGGCCGTTTGTCTGCCCAGTCATACGTCCTCCGTCAGCAGCAAGAATGCCATGCCTCTTTCGGATGGTCGGCTCATCGCTGTAAACATGCCCCGGCTCACCAGAGGAGACGATGATTTCGAGAGCACGCCCTCCAATCTGGACCTGCAGCCGGAGGTTCCATGCTGCTGACCCCCCAGTTGAGGAGACTCGCTCCACTTTCATTAAATGGTTCGAGCTTCAAATTCTGCACTCCCGTGGCGCACGTGGAGCGCGTGAGCTGGCCCTCCTGGCTGGGATATCGGCGAGCAGAAGCTTTGGGAAGGAGACTCGGCAATGGGATCACGGCCAGGTCCTTGGGACGAACCATCTGCAAGTTGTTGAGGTGGTCTAGACGCACAGATGGACCGTTCCCGCCGTTCTGCAGCGTGGCTACGAAGCTTTTTGCCCAAGACTTTGGCAAGGCTTGGCAAGAAACATTGCTGCGCTCTCGAATCGTGGGCGCTGGGAAGGACTGCCAGTTCAGGCAGCTCAATCTCAATGGCATCTTGGCTTTTTCTTGGCTTGGGCTTACCCTGCCGATCTACCCGATCACTTCCATGTCCGCCCCAGAAGGCAAGGCTGTTTGCTCCACTGATTTTTGCGGCTCGCCCTGTGTGAAAAAATAGGAAAAAGAAAGGGGAATGATATCCCACCCTATTCCCCCGACGTCTCCAGCAGGATTCATGCAACTATCGAGGGAAACAGAAAAGGAGTTGGGATGATCTCCATGATTTTCGTCGGCGAGCGTCCGACCGCCGGAATGAGTTCCGGGACCAACCCAAAAAAGATTTCGCAATCGTATCCCTTCCATCAGAGGCCTGCTGCCATATATTCCAGGGCCATGTTAATCAATCTTACTCGGAGCTGTCGGCTCACCTAAAGTGGTGTGATTAACCTTAAAAGCCCTAATTGCAAAAGACAGAGACGCTAGGACTTCCGACGGCCGACTCGCCTTGTGGGGAATAGGAGGCTCTCTAAGCGGATACGGGCTGACGCGTAAAGTTGCCCTCGGGAGACGTGAGGCTCAAGAGGCTTTGCTCGAAGGCGAGCAAGGGCAAAATCCCACTTCATGGTTGGAAATTCGATAGACCAGGCCAGTTTGTTACAAGTTTAGACGAGTCCTGAGACGGCGAGCCTTCTATCAAACGAAGGGGAACCAACGAACGGTGAACCGGATTTACAATGCAACTCCCCTCGTAATGTGGGCACCTCCAAACATGGTTGTCGGGTCCCGACAAGCCCGCCCAACCCTGTCTATTTCTCTTCTGGCAGTTTGCTAGTTGGCTGATTCGTGTGGGCGAGCTAACGTTGGTCCTAGCCTACTCAGGCGCGCTAAACACCTCACGGCGCAATCTTACCGGCAAAATCAAACCGTCTTGGGAGATCATGCAGCGAGGTGCAAACCAATTCCAGCCACGGGAGCCAACATATTTGAAACGAGCCGGTCTTTGAACACTTTATTTCGACTCCGCACTGCGCTAGGAGTAACAAGGCAGAAAAAAGCAATACGAAAACAATGGAGTGCCGGGTGACTTCATTCGCATGTAAAGTCGTACACGTTATTTCTGCCC